CATCCTCTCAACACTGGAGAGATCTAGGCAACAAATCTATAGGGAAACGCAGTATTTAAACTACACTCTACACCTATTGTATTTGGTGAATATATAGAACATTTCACCCAACAACCAGAGAATATACATTATTCTCATCAGCACATGGAACACTCTCCAAGACATATCACATATTAGGCCACAAATCAAGTATCAACAAATTAAAAAAAACTGAAATCATTTCATGCATCTACTCAGACCACAATGGATTAAAACTAGAAATTAATAACAAAAGAAACTTTGGACATCTCACAAATAACTGGAAATTAAACAACATGCTTCTGAATGACATATGGGTTAAAGAAAGAATCAAACAGGAAATTACAAAATTTCTCAAAACTAATGATAATAACAACACATCACACCAAAACCAATGGGATACTGCAAAAGCAGTACTAAGAGGAAAGTTTATTGCAATAAATGCTTACATCAAGAGAGTAGAAAGATTTCAAATAAACAACCTAACTTTACACATTAAGGAACTAGAAAAACAAGAACAATCCAATCCAAAAGTTAGTAGGCAGAAAGAAATAATTAAAATCAGAAAAGAACTAAATGAAACAGAGACCAAAAATATGATACAAAAGATCAATGAAACAAAAAGTTGGTTTTTTGAGGAGATAAACAAAATAGACAAACCACTATCCAGATTAACTAAAAAAAAAAAAAAAAGAAGAGAGAAGACCCAAATGACAAAAATCAGAAATGAAAAAGGGGATATCACAACTGATACCACAGAAATACAAAGAATCATTAGATATTACTATGAACAACTATATGCCAATAAATTTGAAAATATGGAGGAAATGGATAAATTTCTTGATACATACAAACTACCAAGATTGAACCAAGAAGACATAGAAAAATTGAACAGACCAATAACAAGCAATGAGATTAAAGCAGTAATCAGAATTCTTCCAAAAAAGAAAAGCCCAGGACTAGATAGCTTCACTGCTGAATTCTACCAAACCTTTAAAGAGGAGCCAATACCAGTTCTTTCCAAACTATTCTAAAAAATTGAAACAGAAACCATTTTCCCAAACTCATTCTATGAAGCCAGCATCACCCTGATACCCAAACCAGACAAAGGTACAACAACAACAAAAAAAGAAAACTACAGGCCAATATCCTTGAAGAATTTAGATGATAAAATCCTCAACAGAATACTAGCAAACAGAATACAGCACCATATCAATAAGATTATACATCATGATCAAGTGGGATTAATCCCAGGAGTGCAAGGATGCTTCAACACACACATGTCAATAAATGTGATACACCACATCAACAAACTGAAGAATAAAAACCATAAGATCATCTCAATAGATGCAGAAAAAGCATTTGACAAAATTCAACAGTACTTCATGATAAAGACTCTCAACAAATTAAGTATAGAGGGAAGGTATCTCAACATAATAAAAGCTATATGTGATAAACTCACTGCCAATACTATCCTGAATGGGGAAAAGCTGAAAGATTTCCCTTTAAGATCAGGAACAAGACAAGGATACCTGCTCTCTCCACTCCTTCTTAACATACTATTGGAAGTACTTGCCAGAGCAATTAGACAAGAGAAAGAAATAAAGGGCATCCAAGTAGGTAAAGAGGAAATCAAATTGTCCCTGTTCACAGATGACATGATTCTATATATAGAAAACCCAAAAAACTCTTAGAGCTGATAAATGGCTTTAGTAAGGTTACAGGATACAAAATCAACATACAAAAATCAGTAGTGTTTTTATACTCCAACAACAAACTAGAAGAAAAAGAGATCAAGAAAGTAAGCCCATTTACAATAGTCTCCAATAAAATAAAATACATAAGAATAAATCTAACCAAAGAAGTGAAAGATCTCTAAAGTGGGAACTACAAATCACTTCTGAAAGAAATTAAAGAAGACACTAAGAGACGGAAAGACATTCCTTGTTCACAGACTGGAAGAATCAATGTAGTAAAAATGTCCATACTACCCTAAGCCATCTACAGATTTAATGCGATTCCCATCAAAATACCAATGACACTCTTCACTTCCTGATTTCAAACTATATTACAAATCTGTAGTAACAAAAACAGCAATGGTGCTGGCATAAAAACAGACATGTGGACCAATGGAACAGAATAGAGAACTCAGATATCAACCTAAATATGTACAGCCAACTGATCTTTGACAAAAGCACCAAGAACATACATTGTGGAAAAGACTGCCTCTTTAATAAATGGTGCTGGGAGAATTGGATATCCACTTGTAGTAGAATTAAACTTGATCTGTACCTTTCACCATACACCAAAATCAACTCAAAATGGATTAGAGACCTAAATATAAGGCCCGAAACTTTAAAACTCCTAGAAGAAAACATAGGGGGAACATTCCAGGACTTAGGACTAGGCAATGGCTTTATGAATAACACCCCAAAAGTACAGGCAACAAAAGAAAAAATAAACAAATGGGATTATATCAAACTAAAAAGCTTCTGCACAGCAAAGGAAACAATCAATAGAGTAAAAAGACATCCTACAGATTGGAGAAAATTACTTGCAAAAAATGCATCTGACAACGGATTGATATCCAGAATATACAAAGAGCTCAGACAACTTTACAGCCGCAAACCAAACAATCCAATTTAAAAAATGGGCAAAGGAGCTGAATAGACATTTCTCAAAGGAAGACATACAAATGGCCAGTAGGTATATGAAAAAATGCTCAACATCACTAATCATCAGGGAAATGCAAATCAGAACCACTCTGAGATATCACCTCACTCCAATCAGATTGGCTATTATAAAAAAGACAGAGAATAACAAATGCTGGCGAGGATGTGGAGAGAGAGGAACCCTCCTGCACTGTTGGTGGGACTGTAAATTAGTACAGCCATTATGGAGAATAGTATGCCGGCTCCTTAAACAGATAGACCTTCCATATGATCCAGCAATCCCACTCCTGGGGATATATCCAGAGAAATGGAAAACATCAGGTCGAAGGCATACCTGCAACTCCCATGTTTATTGCAGCCCTATTTATAATAGCTAGGCAATGGAACCAACCTAAATGTCCATCAGTGGATAACTGGATAAGGAAATTGTGGTATATATACACAACTGAATACTACTCAGCCACACACACACACACAAAAAAAGAAATTCTACTATTTGCAACATGGATGAGCATGGAGAAAATTATCCTAAGTTTAACAACCCAGGTACAGAAAGAGAAATACTGCATGTTATCACTCATAACTGAGAGTTGAATCCATAAATAAACAAATTAACAATATAAAGAGAAAGAGAGAAAGAAAGAAACAACAATCAAGTAATATGTTGAACTTTTAGAAAACTAGAGGTGAAAAAGGGGAGGGGAAGAGAGAGGGGGCTTATGAGGAATTGGTCAATGGACACAAAGAATGACTGTGTATTGTAATGATGAATAAGCTAACTATAGTGGTCTAACCACCACACATTCTACACAATTATTGAAAATCAGCATTGTACCCCACATGTATGTATAATAAATAATAATAATAATAATAATAATAATAAAATAATAATAGATAAATAAATAAAATCAACAGTTTTACACACCCCCAGTTATGAAACATAGCCTTTTGATACTGTGATTTGAACTAAAAAATGGTAGCTACATTCCTTAAAACTAGTAAGCTAAAACTTATTGTAACCAAATTTTCATCCAGCCAGAAACACTAAAGCCATAAAATAATAAAACATTTTTTAAATGCTTTGCATTACTGCAAAGGTTCATTTGTGAGAAACAACTTGGGAAAATATATCTTTTTTTTTAATATTAAGGCTTTTATCTGAGCAATATTACTTTTTATTACTTGTAATTGGCCAAGATTATCCTTAAATTTACACAAGCAGAAGCTGAGAAAGCATACTATGTAGTTACCAGTTTCCAGGTAAGTGTGGTTGCTTGGGAAAATCACAAAATAGTTTTTTATTAAAGTAAAAATATTAAGTAGATACCAATTTTGTACTTTCACTTTGTTTATAAGAATCTGTATCTCATTCTAAATGTACAGTTACATTCAACTGTAAATTCTAGTGTAAAACAAAGTAATTATTTCAAGTTGCACATTTATGCACACAGATACTACAATTCAAATTAAATGTATTCGTTTAACATGACTAATAAAGTGTAACAAGGATAAAATTCAGTGCATACCAATTTAATTATGCCTCAGTGGCAACATGTTGGTAAAAAGTTTCTTAAAGAGAATATTCCTTGCTGCTGTCAAAAATAGTTTATCAAATACTTAGCAACCTTAGTTTGTACATGCAATTCAGAGTGCTAGAGGAAAGATTTGACAAAGATGTATTTACTCATCAAAATAGAATTTAATTTATTTTCAAGAGAAACAAGAAAAAGAGAAAACTTTAAGCCAAAAGTAGCAAAGGTTTTGGGTTCTCTTCTCCCATTGGTGAATATTGTGTCACCAATGTAACTCAAATTCTATGTATATAAATAAGAGATTAGAATATCATGGCTATTTCAGACAGCTTTCTTAATAAAATGAGATTTTTGAGAGATGGTTGTTTTTAAATGGCTTGATACATGGTATTTAAGGCTCATTTGGATTTATTCTTTTTATGCATGCAGAGGGAAAAAAACCAACACCAAGCCATGTACAGGTGAGAGGAGGTAGGTAAAAAATTACTAGGTTGTTTGTGACTAAGCTATGCAACCCTTGATGGAGTAGTAGATCAGAACAGCCACAGTGCAGTCAATGCCATTTTGCTATTTGCCAGCTGTACAGCAGATGGATCTTTCAAATGGAAAAACATATTGTTCACTTTAGGGGTCAAACTTGTTTCCTCTTCTGCATGGCTTGCATATCGAAGTAAGTAAAAAAGGGAATTTTAGACCCTGTTCAATGACCTACACTCTGAATTATATAAAATGGAGAAGAAATTTAAAATCTAAATTTATATAAACTTACCTTAAAAAATTAATTCAAAGCACCTGATGATATGGCAAACTTCACAACATCTGGTGGTTCAGCTTCTACTATAATGTCAAAACTAGGGAGTGGAATATTTGGATTGGCATGAAAGTTTAAACTGGCAGGATCCTTGATACCAATGAGATTCTGGACCCAAGGAAATCTTTTTAAAAGCCAGATTACTTGGCATCAAGAACATCCTTGCACTCAGTGGCATGCTTAAGTCTAGCAGTCTTTGAAGTGAGCACCAAATTTGTGGTCGTCAAAAATTGTATAATTTCTACCAAGCATAGCTGGATCAGAAAATTTAGAGGTGCTCTAATTGACAAAAGTGGACATATAGTTAGTGCCAGCAACAAAAGAGGGGGAGTATACATAAATAATATTAGGAACTGAATAAATGAATTGATTTCCAGTTTTGGCTCAGAGAGGAAATTATTAATTATGAGCACTGTGAGTATTTATAGCATCAAAATTGAGGTTGATGACAAAGTTGGAGTCAATTAACTGAGTAAATATATGAACATGATTAGTGTCTAAGGCATAGCTACTACCAGCAGTATACCTAGACTTAATGGCACCACTGTAACTACCAGTGGTGTTGCTGGTGTCAGTGGCATTGACAGAGCTACCTGCAGAGCTGGGTCTGGCAACATAGCTGTTTCTGGCAATAGAGTTTGGGTTTACTACAAAGCTAGAAACTTTTTCATGAGGAAATCCTGGTACATAGTTAAGGTCTGAGTCATAGTTTGGGGCAGCTGCATAGTTGTGGCCAGCAGCACTTGTGGGTCTTATACCATAGTTGGGATCAGCATCACTGTGAGGATTAATAGCATTGTTGTTACTAGTGACATTACTAGGGCTGGCACTATAGTTAGAGTCAGGGTCTTTTTCAGAGCCAGGGCTATTGGTGTTGGGGCTGGGGCTGTTGTTGGGGCTAGTGCCATTGTTGCTGGGGCCAGGGCTGTTGGTACCTGATCTGATATTCTGGGGGTCAGGACCAATGCTGGGGCAAATATCATTGCCAGGCCCAGTGGCATTGCTAGGGCCAGTACCACTGTTGAAACCAGAAGTGTAATCCAGGATAGTTTCATTCTGGGGCCTAGAGGTGTATTTTGGATTAGTGCCATCACTGGGGTCAGCAGTACTGTCCTGATCAACCCCACTGTATAGACCAGAAGCATCATCTAAAGTGTTGGTGTGTGAATCCTCCTCAAGATCAGTGCTGTATTTGGAGTTAGTGTCATTGTTAGTGGCATTATCAATGTTAGAGTCAAGTACACTGTTGGAGTCAGTTCCATTGTTGGGGTCACCATCATTGTTAGAATCAGATCCACCTGTAGGGCCAGCATCACCACTGGGATCAGATCCACTGTTGGTATCAGCATCATTTTCAGTGTTGCTGTCTTTGGGATCAGTATCATCAGGGTCAGACTTATCACTGGGATCTTTCTTATCTCTGGTGTTATCTTCATCTTCAGGGTCTGTTTCATCATCATCATTTGTATCATCTGCAGAGTCTGTCTCATCTTCATGGTCTGTCTCATCTTTGGGAAGAGTTCTGTTTTTGGTGTTGACCTTATCATTGAGATTGTCAGAACCAACCGGTTTAGTGTCATTGTCAGGACTGGCTTCATTTTTCAGCTTGAAAGCAAGGTTGAACTTGCCCTCACTTTCAAGGCCAGCAACATTGCTGGTATTGATGACACTGAATGGGTCAGGGGCACTATAGTGGCCCATGTTATTTTGGGGGTTCGTCGGAAGGGTACAGGTAATAGTGGAACATAGGAGATTTTGGAGAGCTGAGCAACTTTCACAATGCAAATAAGAAGTTGAGCCCAGGGAATATTTAGAATCTTCCCAACGTAGAGGACAGCGACTGCCTACAGGATGCTTAGGATCCAGGGATCGAGATAAAGCCCTGTTCCGAGAAGTCTTGTGGTGTCTAACAGACTTGGGGCTCAGAGAATATTTAGAATCTGAAGGAATTTGGAGATGTAAAGAACGGTCAGGGTCTGAATCATCATCAGAATTAATGAGGCATTCATGAAAAGGAGAGTTATTGATTTTCACCAAACATCTGAAACATATTTGAGATCCTATGTCCAAAGAATGTGTGTTGTATCTGTGAGTCTTAGGGCGTACAACAGGCCTAGGGCTTATGGAAGCTGGGTCGCAGACAGGCGTTGAAACTTCAAAGGTGTAACCCTTAGCACTTAGGAAATGAATAGGCTTCACTGGAGATGCAGAACTCTGAAAACTATGTGCATATTTGTAGTCCTTAAAAAGGCTCTTATAGACAGAAGTTTTACAGGTGACATTTCTATGATGCTTGTTATCCATGAATATGTTTGGGTCTGGAGAAAGGTTGTGGCTGCACTTTTCCTTTAACTTTGGCTTTGAGTCTTGCTTGTCACTGAGAGTTGGAGACTCTTTTTTGAATCTCACAATTTTGTCATCACTCAGGTACTTCAGAAGTTGAATTCTGGAAACTGCTAGAGAGAGAAGAGTAAAATATGAGTAAGACTAGCCAAAAAGATAATGAAGTGTGACTTTGATGCCCACATTACAAAATAAATCTGTGCAAAGGAAAAAGATATCGTTTTCTTCAATACGTTATTGCAAGTGTTATTTGATATTTCAAGAAGAGGCCATGACCCTAAGTTTTCTGCCTGAGTAGGTATCATATTGAGTTTATTAAGACATAAAACATGAAACACAGCCATTAATCTCAGATGTCTATCTGCTTTAGATTCAGAGAGCTTACTCTAGAAGAGAACTCATAATGTAGGAATTCATTAGAATTATGTGGCCAATGGGCTGGCCCGGTGGCGCACTTGGTAGAGTGTGGCGCTTGGGAGTGCGGCGGCGCTCCCGCCGAGGGTTCGGATCCCATATAGAGACCGGTCCGCTCACTGGTTGAGTGCGGTGCAGGCGCGACACCGAGGGTTGCGATCCCGTTACCGGTTACGAAAAAAGACAAAAAGGAAAAAAAGAAAAAAAAGAATTATGTGGCCAAAATAAAACTGTTGTTTTACATACTTGGAATACAAATCTATATTGCTTTTTCATTTTGCTTCTAGAAATACTAGCAATTTATTCTTTCCTGGAACATAATCCCTGTAATTTATAAAATACCCATGTTGAAGAAAAAAGTTTCCTCGGGCTTGTTATGTCAAAATTGCAAAAGTTTTTGATATTAAATTTAATACCAAGGATCAATTTCTGCTGCTATCAAGATCTCATTGACATATGGCTCTGAAAATTTAGGTATTTATCAATATCTTAGTTTTGAAACTGAATTAAAAAGTTCAGTAAATGTCCTTATGGGATAACCTTGTTCTCCAGGTAGACAGGAAGAAATAAAGTAAAAATAAACATGACAATTTTAAAAACAAAAAAAATCCCTTCTCCCATTCTCCTAAGGTCCTAAGAACATTTTTTCCAGGTTTGGCGTCAAACACATAATCAAACTTAAGAAGGAATCTAAAAATGCTGGATGGTAGTTTCTACTTAGAAATTGATAGTGACTTTTTATAGAGAAAGTGATTTGCTGTCTCATCAAATTTCCCTTAAGGTAAACAAGAGTCCTTAAGAGAAAATTTTAATTGCACACTCATAATCTTTTAGGCATTTATAAAATAAACAACTTTAAGTAGGTCTACTCTGAAAGGTATTAGGGAAGAGTGTATATGCCTTTGGCTACAATGAAACCTATTTTACTGTATAGCCCTCATAGATTTATTTCTATGAAAAGTAGCACATATTCTTATAAGTATGTAAAGTAATTATGTTGCCTCTGATAACATAATAGCATGAAATGATGCTCACATAATGGAGAAGACATGAGATCTTAGTAGTCTATATTTCTCTGCCTTATAATAAATCTAGAAGCACAACTATAAATTTTCTATCCCAAGCCAAGTACCAAAAAATATTGAAGGTGGTAACTATTATCTTTAATGCCTCTGATCCTCAATAGCCTGTACTGTATACTTTACTCATAACAGTGCTGTTATTATAAATTAGTGACAGAGGCTTACAGCCTGACAAAGTGATGCAATGTGGCTATTTGTTACACTCTTTCATATTCAGGATAATAGTGGGATGTACAAAAACAGTTACAACCAGGCTGGAAAGAAAATTGGAAGCATACAAGTGTTGAAGGTGTAAAGTTTCTTAAACACAATGAAAGAAAATAATGTTTGAAAAAGGGCATATTGAGTATATGAGTTCTTATCAGTAAATTGGTTAATATCTTATCTTGTGATCAGGAGTGAGATACAACACTAAGAGATAAAAGTGAAATACCAGTACTCAGGCTGTGTTTTAGAGATGGAGTGCCTAAATTATAGCCAGTAAAGCATCTCTCATTTAATAAGCCTAAATGAAGATGGAGCTCTGATTTCTAAAAGCAAATGAATACATTCATATGCAAAAGATAAAATAGAGCATCTAGTGACCAATTTATTTCTACAATAGTGTTTCTTCTAATAAAAAATGTTTCTATTTTACACAAAGAAGCATGATAATCTGTACCTAATTTATGTACTTACCTAAACTCTCTTAGCAGTCTAGTCCCAAGGCTTCTTAGCCATAACATTTTTCAGTGTTGTCCTGTGACTGCCACTTTACATTACTACTGGTCTTACTTGCTTCTCTTTATTTGTTTGTTGTGGTTTATTATTTACTAATTTAATTTATTTATTCATTTATATCACCATTATTTCAATAAACATTTTCAAGCCAAGCACTGAGCTAAGCCTTGGGGATAAAGATGAATAAGCCTTAAGTCCTTCTGTCTCTAAGAAGCTGATGGCTATACTAGGAGTATGAGCAATGCTATGGTAACACAGAAAACTCTATCTCTGCCTATAGAATTTGTGAAAAGGTTTCATAAAGAAGATGACCCTTAAAGGATGAGTAGGAGTCTTTCAGTGGATATCAGCATACTCTAGGTGTCTGGAGGCCACCAAGAATACAGACAGCAGTTTGATCTAGCATGAAGTTTGAGGGTCTTCTAGAATCTCTGGCCAGGCTGATTTCTGAGGGCCGTCTCTTGTATGAGGCCATTCTGTGAATACTGGGAGAAGTGGTTATTTTCTCTAATGTGCACACACAAACACAAAGAGTCAAGAAGAATTAAAGAATTAAAAAACAGTGTTGAAAACTTCAAGGAGTGCCCCAACACAGAGCCAGTCACTAAAGACAGGAGAGTATTTTTATTCTTTTCTTTGCTTCAAGCATTTAAGAAAACTATGTCAAAAACTAGCTGACCCCTATGCAAGTGGAACATAGAGTTTAGTGGCCACACATGAACTCCAATATAGAATTTACAAAAATACTTTAGAAAAGTCACAAAACAAGAAAACAACAACAGTGTGCAGCAACATAAACCCCCAGGGAAGGTGGAGAACCTGATTTCCAGAGTTGCCACATTATAACATTCAAATACTCCAATTCTCAAGAAAAACTATACTGCATGAAAAGAAACAATGAAGTATGGCTCATTCACAGGAAAAACAGAAATTGGTAAAAACTATTGAAGAGGAAGACCAGGTATTGAAATCATAAGACAATGATTTTAAATCAACTGTCTTTTTTTTTTCTCTTTTCCTTTTTGTATTTTTTTTTTTGTGACCGGTAATGGGATCGCAACCCTCGGTGTCGCGCCCGCACCACGCTCAACCAGTGAGCGGACCGGTTTCTATATGGGATCCGAACCCTCAGCGGGAGCGCCGCCGTGCTCCCAAGTGCTGCACTCTACCGAGTGCGCCACCGGGCCGGCCCTAAATCAACTGTCTTAAATATATACAAAGAGCTAAAGAACACTGCTGATGAAGAACTAAAGGAAACCAGGAAAACAACATCTTGCCAAATAGAGGATATCAGTAAAGGGACACAAATTAGGAAAAGGAACCAAATAAAATTCTGGAGCAGACAAAATAATGGTATTAAAAAATTCACTAGAGGGGCACAACTAGGGAGAAGAAGGAATCAGGAAATTTGAAGATGACCACTTGAGATTATTCACTCTGAGAAGCAGAAAGTTAAAAAAAAAAAAAAAGATGAAAAATTAAGAGTCTAAGAGAACTACTGTGAAACAGCATCATCAAGCATACCAACATACAAATAATGAAAACCTTATTAGAGGGAGACAAAAAAAAAAAAGAGGCAGAAAGAATGTCTTTAAAAAAGCCATCAAAACTTCCTCAATTTAATAAAAGACTCAAATCTATATATTTAATGAGCTCAATGAACTCTAAACAAGATAAACAAACACAAGGAGATGAATAATAAGAACATGATAGTCAAATTATTGAAAGACAAAGACAAAAAGAGAACCTGCAGGTAGAGAAAAGTGATTTTTCACATGTAAAAGATACTCAATAATACTAATATCCAACTTCTCAGAAACCATGTAGGCCAGAAGTCTGTGGAATTATAGTTTAAAGTGCCAAAAGAAAAAAAAAAAACCTTTCAAACAAAAATGCTATAACTGAATAGAAAGACTTCAAATAAAGAACCTAATGTTACACCTCAAAGAACTAAAAAACAAGAACAATCCAATCCCCAAATCAGTGGACGGAAAGAAATAATTAAGATCAGAGCAGAACTAAATGAAATAGAGACCCTAAAAAATGATACAATACATCAATGAAACAAAAAGCTGTTTTGGGGGAAGATAAACAAAACAGATAAACCATTAGCTAGACTAACTAAAAAAAGACAGAAGACTCAAGTAACAAATATCAGAAATGAAGAAGGAGCTATTACAACCAATACCACAGAAATACAAAGAATTTCATTAGAGACTATTATGAACAACTATATGAAAACAATTTTGAAAACCTGCAAGAAATGCATAAATTTCTAGACACATGCAAACTACAAAGACTGAACCAAGAAGAAATAGAAAACCTGTACAGACCAATAATGAGCAATGAGATTGAAGTAGTAATCAGTAGTCTCTCAACAAAAAAAAGCCCAGTACCAGATGGCTTCACTGATGAATTCTACCAAATCTTTAGAGAACTAATACTAATCCTTTTCAAACTATTCCAAAAAATTGAAAGAGAGGCCATTCTCTCAGTCTCAGTATATGAAGCCAGCATCACCTTGATACCAAAATCAAAGATACAATAAAAAAACTACAAGCAAATATCCTCGATGAATATACATACAAAGATCTTCAACAAAATATTAGCAAAAAGAATATAACAGCGCATCAAAAAGATTGTACTTCATGATCAAGTGGGATTCATCCCAGAGATGCAAGGATTGTTCAACATACACAAATTAATAAATGTGATACACCACATCAATAAAACCAAGAACAAAAACCATATGATCATCTTAATAGATGCGGATAAAGCATTTGACAAAACTCAACATCCCTTCATGATAAAGACTCTCAACAAATTAGGTATAGAAGGGAAGTATCTCAACACAATAAAAGCTATATATGACAAACTCACCACCAATATCATCC